CTCTGGAGGTCTCTTGCCAGCCTGACCACATTTCCTTGATCACAGATGTCTCCAATAGCTGTCCCTCACCCAGTCACTGTGGGAACTTTCCACTGAGATCCCTGAATTGAAGTCATCCAACAGCTGCTCTGAGTTCCATGCTCAATCAGTCAATCCTTCTGTGCAATGACTTCTGAACCAGAACTCTCTCCAAGTGTATGGAAGCCTCTTGGACTAGAGTCAGTAGTTGTGATAGATCACAACATCCGCTGGTCCATTCCACTAATGTGTTTCTCTCTAAAGCCCTCTGGAATCCCCTGCTGTTACTTTATCTGTATATTTGGTCTTCCTTTCTCATAAGCCAGGAGCCAGGGAGAAAGTGCAGATTGTCCCTTCTCTTCTCTGTATTGTGTTCTGCCTCTTCAATTTCTGTGTAGGTTTTAATGGTCCTGTCAGATCCTTCCTGGTTCCTGGGGATCTACTACCCTCTTTTTAATTTTTCTTCTCAAAGTTGTTATTTTCCAGTGTCTGAGTTCTGAGCCTTAGAGAGCCTTACCACTCTGTCATTTTCCTGGAAGTCCTCCTCATGCTTTCTGCATACATATTTTAGCTATTTGTACTCATATCCTCTCTGTTTCCCTAATTTATAACACCATCCATCCATCTATTGATTGATTGATTGTACTGGAAATTGAATCTAGGGCTTTTGCCTTTTTTATCATTTTGAGACAGAGTCTTACTAAGTTGCTAAATTGTTCAGGCTTGACTTGAATTTGTGATCCTCCTATCTCAGTCTCCCATTGCTGAAATTATAGGCACGTGTAACCATACCTACCTACCTTTTATGTTTTATAAGGAATTGCTTGAGGTCAGATTTCCTGTTTCCCAGAAGACTGACTCTGTACCACATCTTAGTGTATAGGAAGTAAATTAAGGATCATCTTCATTATCAACATCTGAAAGCGTTGAACTGAATATCTAAAGTATAGAGGTATAAGAAATACGACTGGGTGGAGGTGGGCTGTATGAGAGCTCTGAAGTTAGAATGGCCCTTCAGAGTTATCTTACTTGAAGATATGGAGACCAAGCTTTCCTAACTTTAGCTTTGAGCGTTCTTCAGGTAAAGTCAACCCATAGACAGGGAGCATCAACTTAAGGCACTTGACTCTTTTGGAGAGTATAGCAATGCCTGTGCAGAGATTTAGCCGAAAGTTACTAACCACCGGTACTCTTGGCAGCTGGGGTTATAAATGTCTCAGATGTGAAAATTGAGCCTCAGATGACAGACCACAGTATCTGCTACAGGTTGAAAACACCATAAAAACTTATAGTTCTCTGGGAGAAGTGGCTGCTGTGCCATATAGTGTCTGGTCTTCCATAAGCTTGGGTGGGTGAGTGTGGCTTTTTTCATGTAATCTGTTCTTGGGTTTTATCTCATTTTTTTTTTTATTCCGGGGATCGATCTTGGGACTTGGGGTCTTACCTAGAGCTTTATATTGGAATTTTGGATCAAGTTCAGGCTTCTGGGAATATAGAACTGTCCGCTCTGGGACTCATGGAACTCTCTGGCTATGTGGGCTTTTTGTGATGTATACATACTCATTATGTTGGACCAGGAAGAGGATTGTACCAAGCCTTCCAGATGTGATGGGACTCTGATAAACATGGCCTTCTCAGAACCTCTATATACCAGAGTAGACTTTGCTTCTTTCTTCTGTAACAACCCATTTCTCACTCAATATGGACCTGATAGTCCTTGATTGGGTCATATGTCAATCTACTCTTAAACTTGAATGTTGAAATGGTTCTCCATGTATTGGTTTAAGTATTTCTATCTGCTCTGAGATCCCAGCAGAATATAATTATCTTACAGAATCATTTCTGTGCTTATTTATTAATTATACACTACTAGAGAACAGTTGCACAAAGGCTTAGAGAAATAAAAGATGGCTCTATTCAAAGCCTAATACTTGACTACTTGTTATAAAATCAAACATTTTCATTGCTTAAAGATGCCTAGTGCTACTCAAAGGAGTTAAGGAGGCATGAGAGATATTAGGGTTCATCTTGAATTTGGAGGGCCACTCATAGTACATCTTCTTAACAGAGCCTTCTTCCTGAGATAGCTCAACCCCATTTGCTCTGTCTTTTTTCTTCTAGATCACCACTTCCTCATATGATCAGTAGCAAAATTCATATTGCACTGCTCCTAAAGTCAGAGTAACTGGACACTAGGCCTTGGAGCAACCACTGTTTCTGTGCAGCTATGAAGAAATCAGGCAACCTACCTAAGGTTCCTCCTCTACCAAACAGGGCCAACAATCCTGGTCTGGTTGTTCTGATTGCATTGATGTATTAATATCTTATTTCATGAGCATTATTAAAACAAGGTATTCCACTTTTGTCTAATTTTTGAACAACAGACACATCTGGATGGCTTAAACTTAACTATTTTTAGTAGAAATATTTTAAAAGTAATTGAAATGAAGATATATTATACAGTTGAAGATTTTGAAAATGATAACACTAAGCTCAATCTTTTTGATGATTTAGACAGCCATCATAAATGTCAGTTATTGTGTTTTGATGCAATATGGTTCATATAAACTGTTCTATCCATCTTTAATTTCATATTGAATATTATACATCCAGAAGAGTGCACATAAGTATATGGACATGAAGTGAATCCACGTGGATAATCTCACCCAAATAAAGAAATAGAACATTACCAGCCTCCCTGGGAAATCTGATTCACATTTCCTTCTAGTCACTACCTGCAGAACCCAGAGAAACTACTATCATCCTGATTTCTGACAATATAGCTTAGTTTTGTCCTACACTTTTTCTCACTGTATTTACTCTTATTTAATAAGGAGAATTAATTATCCCTCTTATTCACTCTCATAGCCTTTATCTTATGTGTATTTCTTTTTCTTTTTTCTTCTTCTTTTTTAAAACAAGGTCTCACTATGCAGTTCAGGCTTGCCTTGAAATCACTGTGTAGCCTAGGCTGGCCTTGAATTTGCAGTAATCCTCCTGCCTATGCCTTCCAAGTGCTGGGATTTCAGGTGTGTACCACCACATCTAGCTTTATTGTATTTCAATACTCATTAACTCTGCCTTGTTTATTTGTTGTTTTTAATTAATTTATTTATTTAAACTATATTTTAAAATACTAGATAGTGTTTTAGGAATTGGTGATAAGGTCAACAAACATGAGTCCTGCCCTCATGGAATTTATATTCTAGAGGGAAAGATAGATAATAAAAGTAAGCATGTAGCTTGGTGTAGTGGCATGTCTGTAGTCCCAACGACTCCAGAAGCTGAGGCAGAAGGATAGAAGGATTGAAAGTTTGAGGACAGTTGGGCAATTTAGCTAGAATCTGCCTCAAAATAAAAAATAAAAAGTTGGAAATGTAGCTCAGTGGTACAGCTCACTTGCCTAGCATATATGAGCCCCTGGGTTCAATCCTCAGTAATACAAAAAAGTAAATACATAAGTTTATCACAAATTATACTGCACCTTATGATGGGAATCATTAAAATACAATGATAATAATTATGTGAGCTGAAAGCTTTCCTACACTGCCTACATACATAGGGTTTCACCCCAGAAAGAGTCCTTTCATGTGTTTGACAATTACTGTTTGTGCTGAAAGCTTTCTCATATTGCTTACATATATAGGGTTTCTCCCCAGCGTGATTCCTTTCATGTATTTGATAACTGCTGTGTGTGCTGAAAGCTTTCCCACACTGCTTACATACATAGGGTTTCTCCCCAGTGTGAGTTTGTTCATGTATTTGACAAACACCACATGTGCTGAAAGCTTTTCCACATTGCTTATATATAGAAGTTTTTTCACCATGAATTCAAGGCCAGCCTGGACTACACAGGGAGACCCGCTCTCCAAAACACACACACACACACACACACACACACACACACACACACACACACACAATATCATGGGTTTTAAGGTTTAAAGAATCACTACTTGTAGATCTTAAAAACAAGTTTAAAAGTAACATATTTGTACATTGATGTAATCTTTACTCAGTCATTCATGTAGTTCCTTTGGGTAAGGGTAACATATTAAATGTATATGATACTCCCCTCAATACTATGACAATGAAGTGAAGCACTTATAGTAGACTTGCCAAGGAAGACCTTTCTCAGGAATGACATTAACATTGAACAAGAGCCAGTCATGCAAAAAGCCAGGGGAAACATCCTGTAGGCAGAAAAATAGCAAATTTTAAGACCGTGGGTTGATACAGAACTTGGCTTAACCTAGGAACTAAAGTAGGTCCCATTTGAAGGAAGGGTTTTGAACAAGGAACTGGAACATGTATGAGTTTCGAGGGGTATGAAGGAAATCAGAATTTATCACCTCAAATTATGCCTCTTTGACATAAAGTTCAGTTTTGAAGAAGCAGCAAATAATATACATGTATCAAGACATCAATAATGCCATTAATATGAACATGTTTTATGTTTTTATGTACAAATGAAAAATTAAATTTGGGATTAGGTGCAAAAGTCAGTGGTAGAGTGCTTGCCTAGTGTTTGCAAGACTCTAGGTTTCATCTCCAGTATTACCAAATAAAATGAACAAATTTAGTTTAAAAAGAAGTAGCAAATGGAGGAAGAGCTGTCTTTATTCTTCCCCCTTTCTGCCTAAAGACAGTAATGTATTTAGTAATAGTAATACATATATAATAATAAAATTCTCATTTTTAGAAATAACTCTAGAATATGGTTAGGCTAGAAATGATACTAGAAGAATCTACAAACAAAACTTCTTTCATTAGTTTCTTCCCATATAGTTTCTTGCCCTTGAAATTCTAAAATCTTTCCTTTGTTCTATTGGTTTTCTACAAATTTATTGTTCTTTGTTGAAGATGCTTTATAGATAAACTTCTAAGCCATAGTGTGAGCTAATTTTCATTGAGGTTTCTACTAAGGGATACCTCTATTAATAAATTTGTTTTCTTTCTTATTAATCTGTCTTTTGTTGCAGGGATCCGTTCCAACTAAGAACTCGTGAAGGCAGAGGCAGAGAAAACATTTAACCCCCACCCTTTCAGGTAAGCAAAAGAATTTTTCATGTAGTATTTGGCAGTGTATGGCTAGGATTTTGGATTTTATTTCTGAGCAGTTAGACATCATTTGAAGTTTTGAAGTAGGAGACTTTACTGATCTGACCTATTCTATTCTATTGTATAGATTATAGATAGAAAGGGATAAAAGGAGAAAATTAGGAGGCTACTGCATTCATCCAGGTAAAAGTCACTAATAACTTGAGGTATTGAGACTATGCTTAGCTAGCATGGATGAGACCCTGAGTTCCACCCTAGCACTGGAAAAAAAGGTCTAGTTTCATGGATCTGAATTGAAGCAGTACAGATAGAGATAACCATATCTAGACCTGTTTGGAAGTAGTATGCAGCTTTTCAGTGAATTAGATAAGGAGTTTGATAGAGGGGATGGGGTGAGGCGTCAGGGATAGTGGGGGATAGGTGAGGGAAAGGAGGGAATAAGGTTGATAAGAGGTTTTTCTAGGAGCAACTAATGAATGTTGGGGTCATCATTTCCTGAGTGGGGCAGAAAGCTTATCTTTCCTCATTGTTTATAAAAGTAAGCAATGCCATTGAAATATCCTTGTAAAACTTGTTGAAGCACTAGATGAATGACAAATTATTGAAATAAATTTATTTATGATCATCATTACTTATATTACTCTCAATGTACTCAGCCCTAATGAGTCCATACCTTCAAATTTCTTTTCTTTTTTCTTTCTTTCTTTTCTTTTTTCTTTTTTTTTTTTTAATTTTATGAGACCTGGGAAACTGAGTTAGAAAATTCTCTCAACTACCTGCAATTAAGTCTCTGATTTTTTTTTTGTTTTGTTTTTTTGAGACAGCATCTCACTATGTAGTTGAGACTGACCTGGAACTCACTATGTAGCCCAGGCTGGTCTCAAAATCACAGTGATCTGCCTGCCTCAGCCTCCCAAGTGCTGGGATTACAGGCATGCTCCACCATGACTGGCACACTATGTAGCAGGCTGGTCTCAAAATCACAGTGATCTGCCTGCCTCAGCCTCCCAAGTGCTGGGATTACAGGCATGCTCCACCATGACTGGCTAAGTCTCTGAATTTTTGTCAGCATCTGTAGCAATCTTTTCTGCTCATTCTTTCTAGGTACAGTAGAATCTATGCTCTGGATCATATTTCCTTTACTGTTTCCACCTTTTCTGGATATTTTCATTTTCTTCTCATCACCTTCTACTCCCTCCTGTTTTTATAATTCTTCTTTTCCTAGACTTCCAGTAAAATGTAACTGTGCTCAAGTTTCTCTTATTAAGATAAAACAGAAGGAGGAGGAGGAAAGAGGGAGGGAGAGAGAGAGACACACGCACACAGAGACAGACAGAGAGAGATAATGAGAGAGAGAGAATGAGAAAGATAGAGAGACAGAGACAGAGAGACAAACAGAGGATGGACAGGCAGGGACAGACAGAAACAAAGGGATAGATGGATGGAGAGGGACGGATGGATGAGGACAGATGGATGGACAGACATGAATGGATGGACAGAGATAGATGGACTGACAGACAAATGGACAGACAGGGATTAATGGACAGACAGATGTACAGAGATGTCTGAAGACTGACAGATAGAGGCACAAAGACTGGCAGACGGACCAAATAGGTGGAAAGATGGATAGAAAGAGTTGGACATATGGACAAAGATGGGCAGACAGATGGACAGAGAGAGACAGAGACAGAGATGAACAGAGAGACAGAGATGGACAGAGAGACAAAAACAGATGGATGGACACCAACAGACAGATAGACAGAGACTGGCAGAGACAGGCAGACAGCCCAACATAAACAGAGACAGAGACAGACAAATGGACAGACAGACAGAGATAGAGAGACAGACAGATCACAGAGATGGATAGATGGGTGGACAGCATTGAACAGATAGGCAGATAGAGGGACAAACACAAAGACAGAGAGATGGACACAGATGGACAGACACAGGTGGACATGGATGGATGGGTGGACATAGATGGGCAGGCAGATGGACACAGATGGACAATGACAAATAGACAGATGCAGAGAGACACAGACAGATGAACAGACAGATGGACACAATCAAACAGGCAGATGGACACAAATGGACAGAACAAACTGCCACAGATGGACAGATGAACACAAATGGACACGGACAGATGGACAGATGGACAAAGACAAACATGAATGGACAGACAGACACAGAAGGATTAACAGACAGATGGACAAGAGAGGTAAACAAATAGAAATTGATGGATAAACAGAGACAGATGGATGAATGGACAGATAGGCAGATGACAGAAATGGACAGATGGACACAGACAGATGGACAGACATAGATGGACATGAATGTACAAACAGAGAGACATAGACATGGACATACAGAGGGACACAGATGAACAGGCAGAGATGGATGGACAATGACAGATGGACAAAAAGACAGACAGACAGAGGGATGGATAGATGGGCACAGACAGATGGACAAGGACTGACAGATGGACACAGATAGAGAGACAGGTTAGAAACAGACACACAGATGGACACAACTGAACAGACATGTACACAGATAGACAGGTGGATGGAAAGATATACAGACACAGATGAATAGACAAATGGACACAATGGACAGACAGAAAAAGACAGATGGACACAGGTGGATAGACATACAGACACAGATATATGTACAGACATAGGTAGACAGACAGAAGGACACAGAAGTATGGCCAGAGATAAAGGGACAGATGGATAGACAGTGACAGATGAAGGGACAGAATGGATGGACACAGATGGACAGACAGATGAAAAGACAGATGGACAGACTGACATAGATGGACAGACACATACAGACACAGATGGACAGATGGGCACAATCGGATAGACAGGCGGACAGACAAACAGATGGACATGGATGGACATAGAGGTGTACACAGATGAACACAGACATATGGACAGCGAGAAGGGCATAGGTGGATGGACAGATAGACACAGATGGAAAGACAGATGGACATTGATGGACAGGAAGATGACATAGATAGAAGAATTGACAGATGGACACAGAAAGATGGACAGGTGGAGACAGCTGGACAAACAGATGGGCAAGGATGGATGGACAGATGGATTTGAATGGGAAGACACACATAGACAGATGGACACAATCAGACACACAGATGGACAGACATAGATGGACAGAAAGATGGACATGGATGGATGGGAAGAGTTACAGACAAATGGACAGAGAGAATGGATGGATAGACACTGAGGGATGAGCAGATGGACACAGATGGGCAGACATGTGGACACAGACAGATGGACAAGTATTGACAGATGAATACCGACAGAGATATAGACATAGAGAGAAACAGATAAATACAATCAAACAGACAAATGGGCAAAGATAGACCGACAGACACAGATGAATGGACAGATGTGGGTGGACAGAGATGGACAGAGAAGGATGGACAGACAGATGGATGATTAGACAGGTATGGACAGATGGAGACAGAAGACAGATGGACACAGACAGACAGTCAAAAGGACAGATAGTTGGACAAAAGGACACAGAATGATGGACAGACAGACACAGAGGAACAGACAGATGGAAACAGACACAGACAGACACAGATAGACAGACAGATGGACCCAGATGGATGGACAGATACAGATGGATAGAAAAGATAAATAGACAGATGGACAGAAAGACGGGTGGAGAGACAGACACAGGATGGACAGACAGGGACACAAAGAGATGGAAAGATGGAAACAGACAAAGGGACAGACAGACGGACATGGATGGGGAGACAGACTCAGAGAGCCATAACAGGTACACTGACAGGTGGACACAATAAGACAGAGAGATGGACACAGAAGGATAGACGGACAGATGGACACAAATGGACTAACAGACACAGATGGACAGACTGATGGACAGACAGAATGGATGGACAGAGACACAGACTGACAGATGGAGAAAGATGGACACAGACAGACAAGGAAAGACAGACACAAATGGACAGACAGACACAGAGACATAGACAGAAGGATGGGCAGAGAGATGGACATAGGCCATGGAAAGACATTGATAGATGGACAGACAGATGGATCAGATGGGCAGACAAAAAGAAATGGATGGACAGAGATGGATGGACAGACAGAGGAATATACAGGTCTATATAGACATATGGACAGATGGACACAGACAGACAAGGACCAATAGACAGATGGACATGGTTAGAGAGACAGACATACAGGGAGACAAATGGAAAAAATCAGGCAGATAGATGGACACAGACGGATGGACAGGCAGACGGGTCCAGATAGGCAGATGGACAGACATACAGACACAGTTGGATGGATAGATACAGGTGGATGGACAGATGATGGACACAGATTGACATGGATGGAGAGACAGATACAGAACCAGAAACAGCTGGACAGACAGACACAATCAGACAAATAGACACAGAAGGATGGACAGACAGACACAGAAGGATGGACAGATGGACCCAGACAGACATACAGATGGACAAAGACAGACATGGATGGACAGACATATGGACACAGACAAATGGGCACAAATGAACAGACATATGGAAACAAATAGACGGACACAGATGTACAGATGGACATGGACAGACAGACATGGACACAAATGGACAGACAGACACAAATGGACAGAGACAGAAATGGATAGACACATGAACACAGATGGACTGACAGACATGGATGGACACGAATGGACAGACATATGGACACAGATACAGATGGACAGACAGAAACAGATGGATGGATAGATGGACATGGGTGAACAGACAGATGGACATGGACACAGACGGATGGACAGACATAGATGGAAGGACAAAAATAGATGTATATAAGAAGAAAGAGGGATGGATGGACACAGATGGATAAAAATGGATGGATGGATAGAGACACACAGAGGGATAGACAGAGATGGACAGACACAGACAGATGTACACAGACAGACATAAATGGATTAACAGACAGACAACACAGATAGACACAAATGGATGGACAGACAATGGACACAGACAAATGGACACAGGAAGCTGGAGAGACAGACACAGAAGGACAGACAGGCAGATAGATGGACACGGACAGGTGGGCGCAGATGGACAGACACAAATGGATGGACTGACAGAGATGGACACACAGACACAGATGAACACAGATGGCTGGACAGAGATGGATGAACAGTGAGAGACACAGTTGGATGGGCAGGCAGATGAAAAGATGGACACAGACATACAGATAGGCACAATGACAAATGGATGGATAGATACAGTTGGACAGACATAGACAAATAGATGGAAACAGACAGACAGACACTGACAGATGGATGTACAGATGGATAGGTGGTGATGGATGGATGAACTGACATAATGGATGGACAAACAGACACAGATGGATAGATGGACACAGAAGGATGGACAGACACAGACAAAGGAACAGGCACAGATCAACAGGTGGATACAGACACAGAGAGACAGACATAGACAGACATGGATGCAAATACACAGAGACATAGACAAATGGACAAACAGATTGATACAGTCAGACAAACGGACATGGAAGGATGGACAAACATGGATGGACAGACAGATGGACACAGAAGGATGGACAGACAGAGAAAGTCAGATGGACACAGATATAGACAGATACACATAGATGGACACAGAGAGACAGAGAAAGATGGACAGACAAAGACAATGGACAGACAGACACAGACATATGGACAGAGAGAAGCACGTGGATGGACAGACATGGACAGACACAGACAGACAGATATGGACCAATGGATAGACAGAGAAAATGGGCAGACAGACAGATGGACATAGAGAGAGACAGAAACAGAAGGATGGATGGACAGATGGACAAAGACAGATCAACAGACAGATGTAAAATCAGAGATGGATGGACAGAGATGGATAGAGATGGACAGAGGAATGAACAGATACAGGTGGATGGACAGAGGGACACAGATATACAAAGGCAGATGGACAAGGATGGACAGAGAGACATAAATAGACACAGACACAGAAGAAGAAAATATGGACACAATCAGACAGACAGATGGATACAGAAGGATAGATAGGCAGACATAGATGGATAGACACAGATGGAGGGACAGATGGACACAGATGGGTGGACAGACACTGATATACAAAGAGATGGATGGGCGAACACACAGATGGACATAAATGGACAGATAGATGGATACAGACAGATGGACAGACATGAATGGACAGACACAGATAGACAGATGGATATAGCCAGGTGAACAGAAGGACACAGAAAGATGGACACACAGATGGACAGATGGGCAGACAGTGACAGATGGATGAATGGACAGACAGAATGGATAGAGACACAGATGGACAGATGGACACAGAAAAGGATGGACAGACAGACATGAACAGAGAGAACAAATGAGCAGTCAGATGGATATAATTGGACAGACAGACACAGATGGACACACAGACACAGATAGGCAGACAAGGATGGATGGACAGGCAGATGGATGAACAGACAGAGATGGATGGACAGACAAATGGACGGATGGACACAGAGTGACAGAAGGACACAGATGGACACAGACACAGATTGATGGACAGAAGTATAGACAGTGACAGATGGATAACAGACACAGAAAGTTGGATAAACAGATGGACAGATGAATAGGTGGACACAGATAGATAGATAAAGACGGACAGACAGACACAGACAAACTACTGGACACAGAAGAACAGTCAAACAGATGCACACAGACAGATGAATGGATATGGACAGACAGATGGACAGACACAGATGGACAGAGACTGACGGATGGACAGATAGAAAGACAGGCACAGACAGACACAGATGGAGTCAAAGAGGCAGACAGATGGACAGAGACTGATGGATGGTCAGACAGAGACAGAAATACAAGCCACAGACAGACACAGACAGAGATAGAGAGGCAGACTGATGGACAGAGATATGGTCAGACAGCGATAGGCAGACACAGAGATGGGCACAAACAGAGAGATTGAGACATACAGAGACATAGAGAAAGAGACAGACAGAGATAGACAGATGGACACAGGCAGACAGACACAGACAAGCAGACAGAAACAGACAGTTGGACAGAGAAAGAGATGGACAGATGCACAGTAAGAGGACAGATGAACAGACAGGGACAGAGAGACAGACTAACATAGAGAGCAAGAGTCAGACACAGATAGAGACATACAAAGAAAGAGACAGAAAGACAGAGACCGACAGAGATGGATGGATGGACAGACAGACATAAAGAGACAAACAGAGACAAATGGATTGAAACAGACAGATGGACAGATGTAGATAGATAATTGGACAGACAGAAACAGATGGATGGACTGACAGAAATGGACAGAGATGGATGGATGGACAGAGACAGACAGATGGACAGAGAGACAGACGAACAGACACAGATAGAGACAGAGACAGAGACAGACAAAGATGGATGGACAGAGACACATTGATAGAGATGGATGGACGGACAGACAGAGATAGATGGGCAGACAGAGGCAGACAGACAGAACTGGATAGGCAGCCAGCTGACTGGACAGAGACAGGTGCATGGACGGGCAGACAGATGGAGAGGCAGACAGAGAAAGACAGAGAGAATGACATAGAGACAGACAGACAAAGAGAGACAGACAGACAAAGAGAGACAGACAGACAAAGAGAGACAGAGACTGACTGAGACTTTTTGGTCCCATTCTAATTCATGTTTTGTTTATTCAAGTCAGTTTCATATTCTTATTCTCATTCTCTTTGCTCTCTCAACTTTCTTTCATAGACAAATTTCTTGAGTTGGTTATCTACATAAGATTTTTCATCTAATTCAGCTCTTACTCCTAAGCAATCTGTACTGTCTCTACCATTCCTGCTCCAACTAGCTTTGCCAGGTTTATCAATGACCTATTGTTGCTAATCTAATTCACATTTCTCAGTTGTCATTTTATTTGGCTTTCACCTGCATAGCATGTCCCCTTTCCCCTTGAAGTTCTCCTTTCCCTTCATTTCTGGCACACCACCCACACTCGGGTTCTTTCCTGCTTTTCCAGAAGCACTCTCTGACTCCTACTACCTATTTTGGATAGTTTAATCAGGGTTCTGCTCTCAGAGTTCTTTCTTCTCACTATGTGTTCTGACTGGGTGAACTCATTCACTCCTCTGGCTTCCTTTACTAATGCTGGCTCTCAGAAAATGATACCCCAAATATTGTGCAAATACTTTGATGGACTTGAGAGGCCTCAGAAACTGCCTCAGATTCAAGGTCCTTCTGACCTTTTCTTGTTTCTCCTCCCCCCAGGAAATGGCTCTCTCTGGAATTCTTTACTCAGCACTAAAACCATACTCACAAAAGGGAACAAAATTGCCTCCCATCTCCACCTTGAAATCTCATTATTTCAGAAAAGAAAACTGATGACTTCATACCCGGACAGACTTCTTTTGTGGCAATTTTTTCTCATTGAGTTTATTGGTACATTTTAGATATACAGTACAGATACATTCATCATTGGGATCTTGTACCTTTACATGACAGGTCTTGGTTCTCATTTTTTCCCCTTATCCCTGCCCTCCTTTCACCCCCTCCTCCCTTCCCTATTTGCAAATACTGTATTTCCATTTTTTTATTTTCTCATTTTTTTTTCTTTTCCCTTAGGGTTAGGACAGACTTTTTAAAAAGCACAATGTAATGTCTATTCCTTGGGCTCATTCAAATCCCAAAGAGATTCATTTTACAAACTAATTTTTATCTCTGGGTCCATTTGTTTGCCTAATGATTTAAAATCCCTCAGGAGCTCCTTCTCACCTATGAAGAAAAATATACAAGCTTCAACTTCCTAGCCCTGCTCTCTCATAATGTAACAGTGGCTACTGCTTAGTGAGTTGTTCTTTGCAGATTTACCTTCTCTCTTGCCTAGCATTCTAAATTATAAAGAAACACTGCACTTACATGATTAAAATATTAACTGGTAAATAATCTTTCTCTAGATTGACAGAACCCAAAATATCTATTGACCTTCACATTATATCAGGATGTGTATAAAATGATGCTTAATTTGCAAAAAAGTGATGCATGTGTCTAAAAAGCTTGTAGGAACTACTCCTAGGAGATCAATGTTGGCTGTAATTTTTTGGCTAAAGAAAAATAGACACATACCCTGGATGATTGAAAACCACAATCAATACACAGATTTTCTGCCTAATGTGCTACTGCACTCCAGTACCTTCCAATAAGAGACCTTTCATACATCTGGGCTTCCCTAGATGTTCATTTTAGGGGATGATATCTGCCCCTCATCTTCTCAGGGTGCTGGTCCTTGAAAAAAGCTGATTTACTTCATACCAACTCTTTTTTCTTGAGTATTACCTTTTGAATGGTGAGCAGATGCCCTGGAGTCTGGTGTCAGTACTTTATGTATGACTCGTGTGCTGTGATTTTCTCCTGTGCATGTTAATAAATTTGTGGCTTTTCTCCTATGTAGACTGTCTATTGTCAGTTCATTACAGCAAACATTCCTCAGGCAAAGGAGAAACTTCCCTTTTCTCTACACTGTCTACTTTGAAAACAGACTTTTCTTGTGAGTGCCAGACAAAGATACATACAATGGAATGTCATCAAAATATGATCACTTGTGTATAGGTACCATAAGACACAAATAGGACTAGAATAAAATTAATCTTATGTGACAAACTACAATATGCCTCCCCATAAACGAAGTATGGTTGAGCTAAAGACAGATACAGGTTGAGAAAAAGCAGACAGATACGGGAGAGATTTTTGCCCTCCCTTTGCCAAAAAGCAGGGTATAAATTTACAAAGGCTAAAGGTATTCTGCCCCTCCTGTACAAGAGAGAACAAAGGTTAGCCATTGAAAGCAACTTCAGATTCTTACTGGTCTGGAGATGATACCAGAGAAATCTAGATTAACAACTAGGTTTGGTTTGCCAGCCATTTGACTGTCTTCAAGTTGCTAGCCCCAGTATTTCAAAATCATTTTTTGTTGTTGTTTTTGTTATCACTTCTCTAAAAATTTGCTGTTTTTAATTGAGGCTTTATAAGCTGGAATTCAAAGACATCTTTCTGAAATATCATTATGTACTGCAAACATGTACTAACAAAATTTTAAAATATTGTATTTTATTCTCTCATTGAGCTTTTTGGTACATTTTAGGTATACGGTACAGTTATATTCATCATTGTGGTCTTGTACCTTTACATGCCAGGTCTTGGTTCTCATTTTTTTCCCTTGTCCCTGACTTCCCTTCACTCCCTTCTCCCTTCCCCATTTACAAATACTTTATTTCCATTTTCTCATATTTTTTTCTTTTCCCTTATTACCTTTCCCCTATCCTTCCCAATTCCCCTACACCTTTTGCCCTTTTCTTCCTATTTCATATTGTCAATTATATCATTAGGATCTTATGTACCATTATAATTTTTCACACCAGAGAAACTATTAAGTATTTATACATGTGTGACTTATTTATTTCACTTAGGACTATATCCTCAATATGTATCCATTTTCCTATGAATGAATCTAATTTCTCATTCTTTATGGCTGAGTAGTACTACATTTTATAGAAAAACCACATCTTCTTTATCCAGTCTCCAACAGATGGGCAAATGGGCTGTTTCCAAGTTTTAGCTATTACAAACTGTGCCATTATAAACATAGGTGTGCATATATCACTGTGATATGATTCTTTTAATTCTTTGGGAAAGATAACCAGCAGAGGGATGGTTGGGTCAAATGGAACCTCTAGTCCCAGCTCTTTGAGGTATCTCCATATTGATTTCCATAGTGGATACACCAGTCTGCACTCCCACAAACTAGACCCTTATCTTTCACCATGCGCTAAACTAAAATCCAAATGGATTAAAGATCTAAGTATTAAAAAAGAGTCAATAAATTTGCTGGAAGATAAGTTAGGCAGAACTCTTAAAGACATTGGCATAGGAAAAGACTTTATGAACAAATCTTCAGTACAATGGGAAATGGCAGAAAGAATCAACAACTGGGATCTCATCTTATTAAAAGGCTTCTGCACTGCAAAAGAAACCATCAACAGAACTAAAAGACAAGCTACATTGTGGGAAAAAATTTTTACTAGCTGCTTCTCAGACAAAGGACTATTATGTAGAATACATAAAGAACTCAAAACAGTCAGCCCTCCCCAAATATAAAGACCCAATTAAAAAATGGGCATCTGAAATGAACAGACATTTCTCAGACAAAGAAGTAAAAGCATCAAGTAAATATATGAAAAAATGTTCCACATCACTGGTCATTCGAGAGATGCAGATGAAAACAACACTGTGATTCTACTGCACCCAACAAAGAATGGCTGCTATCAAGAAATCAACCAATAACAATTGTTGGCCGTGTTGTGGGGAGAAAGGAACCCTTCTCCATTGGTGGTGGGAGTAAAATATTTTTAAAATAAAAAAATAAACACACTGGCAAACAAAACAAAAAAGCAAAGCCATCTCTTTGAAGGCTACAGCCACACCTGGGTACTCCTTTGAAACTAATCAAGTTTGGTACACAATGCATTTTGATGCGAAAATTTTGTCCCCTCATTGTTTCATACTCAACATACAAGCCAGAACTTGTTGTTGTTAACTGCCTCATAACTTGCTACTGTTTCCAGCCATAACAGTTTGTTTGGTACTTCTTTTCAGTACAAATTGTGTCTCTTAGAACCAATTGATGAGTACCAAGGTACCACTATATTTGGGTGTTGCCTATGTATACCGGGATATACATGTTTATAAATTTCTTTCTTTTCTTTTTTTTTTCAGTTTTTTGAGACAGGGTCTCACTATGTAGTTGAGACTGACCTGGAACTCACTATGTAGCCCAGGCTGGTCTTGAACTCACAGCGATTCTCCTGCCTCAGCCTCCCAAGTGCTGGGATTACAGGTGTGCACCACCACACCCAGCATATAAACTTCTTTCTTTTTCTATTGTTAATCTGACTCTTGTTACATGGGTTACATTTGTTACTTATGAGTCTTGAAGAAAAAAATATTTTTCTTTCCCTTATATCTGCATAATTGCTCATCCATTATACTTTTTTGTATATATGTACATGGTCCCGGGGATTGAACCCAGAGACTTATGCAGTGCTTGCTAAGCAATGCCCTACAACTGAGCTATATCCGCAGCCCCTCCTCCATTATCTTAATGAGTAACATAATCTATCTGGCTAAATTATTACTTTCTGTAGAAAACCTTATTTCATTATTTTCACTAGTTTGAATCTCCCTGATAAGTTCATAACTTCAATTTTTTTATTGGAAGCTACATGCTCCCTAGATATTTCTCTAAAATGGTACTTAGAATATTTTATTGTAATCACTTGTTTAATTTTCTATATACCCCATACAATGTAACGCTCATGGGGATGCTCAATAAATATTTGTGTAATGAATGAATCAAACATGTTAGAGTTGTACATACATAAACTCATGGTGATAGGTCAGAGTTCTCCAGTATAAGTGAACTGCATAGGATTTAGTGTGTGAACTTTTGTGTGAGTGTAGTGCTGGAGATGAAACCTAGGGCTTTCAGTATGCCAGGCATTGTTCTACCACTGAATCATATTCTCAGCCCTGCATGAACTTTCTCTCAAGTGATTGAAGAGAAGGATGAAAAAGACGTTGCGATTTCTTATTTATTGTTAGACATTTCTTCAGCATTCTTCCTGTCATACCCATCGAGGAAAGGAAAAATAAATAGCTTCAAACTTGACATCAAATGGCCGATTTCTTGACCTATCACTGCCTAAGTAGTTAAGTAATATAGATATCTGTGAGGAGATGTGTGTGTGTATGTGTGTGTGTGTGTGTGTGTGTGTGTGTATACAATCTCTGTATCTGTTACTAGAATGTGAAGTCAACAAGGCAGGCTGTGAGGAAGGGAAGATATTTGTAAAATGGAGAAGAGAAACTTCAGACAGGTACCCTATGGAGACAGACTGAAATCCATATCTGGTTTTGTTGCCCTCAACTTTGGTGGTGTGGGTGTTCTGCTTTGTTGTGGGGTTAAACACACATACCTGCCTCAAGAATTGGAAAAACTAAAGGAAGATCCAGGGGAAAGTAGAGTTACAGGTTTAACTACTACCTGTAAAATTTGGAACTTAAAATGTCCTTCCAAGGCCATGTGCTAAACACTTGGTCCCCAGCCTGTGGTGGTGCTATTGGGAGGTGAAAAACTGCAGGACATGGGGCCTAGTTAGAGTAAGTATGTCATTGGGGGTGTGGCCTTGAAGGGACTATTAGGACCCCCACCACGTTCTCTCCGCTATGATGTTCTGCCTCACCACAAGATTAAAAGCAATTGAGTCAGCTGACCATAAATTGAAACCTCTAAATCTGTGATACAAAATATTTATTTTTCTCCTTTAACTCAATTTCCTCAGGTATTTTTCATAGGCGTGGAAAATAACACAAAGATGTACC